GCCTGTGCCCCACTCTGGCGGAAATGTTGTTGCGGTCACAGGCCCGTCGCCGCGTCGCCGCCCGGCGCCGCTGTTCGACAGCACCGCACAGATTGCACCGCGTAGGTCGCATCGGATATGTCGCTTTACACTTACTCTCTTGTCTACTTCTCACGTCGAAAGGCCCAACCATAAGCAGTTTCGAGTATCGCAGGGCAGGTGAAGGGGAGGAGGGGGCCAGGAAAGGGAATGCGGAGTTGGCTGGGGGAGAGAAGCCGTTGGGCCCGCGGGGGAACGCACTGTTTGGTGCGAGCCCCGTGCGCCGCCATTTCGTGCCCACTTCCTTCCCAGTATTTTCACTCCTATCCTTGATTCCAGTGTGCGGCGTTGCGTTCTGGCCCGCCTGGCCCGCTGTGGTCCGGGCGCCGTCGTTTTGAACCCATTTCCTTCCTTCGTCGTTCTCCCCTTTTTGTCCCTGCGCCTGGGTGCCCGCGGCTTGGGGCACCAGGCATGCGGAGTCCCCACGACGCGCGCCAGTCGCCCCGAAGGAATCCAAGCGACGCGCGCGGGTTGTCCGCGGCACGGAGAGCAAAAAAGCACGGGTGGCCGACCGCGGGCAGGGCGCCGGGCAGAGCGCGCGGGCGTCGGGCAACGCCTGGCGGCAGGGCGCAGGGGAGTGCCCGCGAGCCTCTGGGGCCACGAAGCGCGCGGAAGGTGTGCCTTCGGTGGAGCTCCCTGTGGGGCCACGGAGCGTGTGGGAGGTGTGCCTACATGGACACGCGGTGGGGGGGGAACCACATGTGAACTCTGCCACTGGGGCCTTCGGTGGAACTCCCTACGGGGCCACAAGACGTGCGAAGGGTGCGTGGACGTGGACATGCGGTGGGCGTGGAACCGCATGTGAACCCTGCCACTGGGGCCTTCGGTGGAACCCCCTATGGGGCCACGAACCGTGCAGGGCATGCCGACATGTACATGCGGTGGGCGGGGGGCCTCGCGCGAACCTTGCCTCTGGGGCTTCCGGTACAACTTCCCATGGGGCCACTAAGCGTGCGAGGGGTGCGCGGTCACGGGCGACACGCGGAAGGCAAAGGCAAGGATGGGATGAGGGAGGAGGGAGGAGGGAGAGAGGAGTAAGGAACGCGTGGCGCTTTCTCTTCAAACAGGATGGCTAGGAACAAAAAAGCGTTTGAAATGCACACGCGCGCGTCGTCTCGCGCGCATGCCGATTTCCCACAACAACCTTCAGTTTCGCAGATATGTAAAAATCGCAGCCTCCGAATCAGATAACAAACACATGGTATCGCAAAAGGATTTGTGAAACAAAACTGCGCTTTCGTTCTTGCGAATTCTTAACAAAACAATGGCTTTCAACTGGCTCATAAAATCCGACTCAATGGGCGACCTCCGCGCGCGTGTCTAAATCATTCGAACATCCTTGCGCGCGCGCTGTCGCAAGAGCATGTTGCAACGAAAGGGGCGAAGTACAGACGCGCGCGCGTCGTCGCGCGCGCGCGTCCCAGAATCCCAAACCGGAGGTACGAAATGAGTCCACACATTGTCCTGCAACATCACGCTTCAGAAACACTATGCGCGCATTCTTGCGAATCCTTAAGAGAACTATGTGGTTTTCAACATGTTTATGAAATTCGACCAGCCGGGCCTCTCGCGCCGCATGTCGAAATCATTCGAAGGCCCTTGCGCGCGTACTGGAGGGGGGTCGCAGATCCTGGCCAAATGGTGCCATGCGGGCCGCTCGCACGCGTCGGCCGCGCGCGTAGTCGAACTCTTCCGACAGCTGCATCGCCGACGCGACGACACCGCCATCGTCATCAACGTGATCACCATCGGCGCCGTCATTGGCCTTGCCGTCGCCATCGTCATTACAGTCACCATCATCGCTACTATTATCGTCGTGTCTACCTTTGTCGACGTCGCCATGATACCGAGCCCGCTCAAGTCACCGACTCGCACTGAAATGCCCGTTGGGAAGTGCCCAGCGGTCGGCGCCACCGCGGCCGCGCCGGTGACGCCAAACTAGCTGGCCGCTGTGCGCGCGAGCGTGCGCAGGCTAGCGCGGCCGCCGAAATGCACCAGCCAACACCCAGTACTCATCGCGATCGCAGCCGAATGGGTTTTGCGAACCAAGTTGCGGGTGGGTGGGCGGATCACTGCGAAAGCAGTGGAGCTGCCAACTCCAAGTTTTTTCAGACTTCATCACCCACATAGATGGGTCTTCATATATAGCACCACCTATATATATATATATATATATATATATGTATATATATGTATATATAATATATATATATATACATACATATATATATATATATGTATATATATATATATATTACATATATATATATATGTATATGTATTTGTATGTATATACATATATATATATAGATAGATATATATATATATATTGCTAGAAACACACAGTTTGGGGCCCACGCTGGCTGGCATTTCTTGTTGCTTTCGTCGGCTCTACGAGGGTATCTCGCTTCCAGCAGATGCGCCTCGTCGAGCGCATTCCGGGGGTGCCCAAATCCTCCCGAACGGCTGCTGGAGGCCCGAGTTTTGGACCGAAAACCACTCAGAACCCAGACAGCCAACGTCTTGCAAAAATCAAGGCGGCATTTCTCGCCGCTTTCGGCATCCGTTTTCTTTTCGCCGCTTCCGGCATCCGAGTGGCCGCTTTCGAGCCCCGCGGGGTCGTCAGAAAGCGACTCAGGACAAGAAGCCGGCCCTGGGGAAAAGGTCGGGACTTCGAGGGACCCCGTATTGGAAACAAGGGAACGTCCGACGTCTGGGTCCTTGTCCTCCTCGTGCTCCCCCTTGCCCTGTCCTCAATCCACCTGCCGTGTCCTCCTCCGGACGGCCAGGTGCGAGATGAGCAGCACCGAGAGGCGCTGCCTTCCCGAGGCGATCAGCATTCCATCCCTGCCCCTGCTCACCCCCCAATCCCACGAGGGGCCAGAGGGGCAGCGGGTAAAAATCCCTGCCCCTGGACGCCAAGAGTTTTGGCCCGTGCCGTAGCCCTTGGCGTCCAGAATCTTCAGCAGCAGAAGCATGGACAAAATGTCGATCGCAGATCCCTGGACGTCTGGCGGCACCACGTTCTCCCCCTTGTCCTGCTCGTCCATCTGTGAAACGGCAACTCAGCGAAAACCAAACATTCTCTCGTGTAGCTCTGCTTCGAAGTTTGCCCTCGCTGGGCCGGCTCCAAAATACACTACTCATCCCTCCTCCTGCTCCTCCTCCTCATCCTCCTCCTCGTCCTGCTCCTTCTCCTCCTCCTCCTGGTCGTCGTCGTCCGCCTCTTCCTCCTTCTCAATTTCCCTGCCTTGTCCTCCTCCCTCTCCTCCCCCAGCTCCTCCCGCTCCTCCTCCGCCTTCCCCTTCCTCTCTTCCTCCTCCTCCTCCTCCTCCTCCTCGTCCGTGTCAGCGGTCCTCCTCCTCTTCCCTGCCTCCTCCCTCTGGATCCTCGATGTTCGAGTATCAATGTTTCGGGGCTCGCTCTTCGGGTGCCCCCCAGGGGCATCCATGGACCTACGGGGAGGCCCGCCTCTGCAGGCCTCTGGAGACCTCTGGAGACCGCCGTCTTACCTGACCTCTATGTCAGGCAAGGCGAAGCCAGGACGAAGACGACTTCGGGTGAGGATACATAGGCTCTCTGAGATCCGGCGACTCTCTGGAGGATGTCTGGGGCGTCGCGGCCTTCTCAGAGCGTTCCTGGACGGATCGATCCTCGTATGGCTGCACCAGCGGTCGAGCTCAGCGGGGGCACCGAGAAGCGAAGTGGCCAGCGTGCAGGAGGAGTGGGGAAAAGACGGACAGAACGGCCGCAGAGGAAGGACGAGGAGG